CATCAGAAAGCTACTTTAGGGACATACTGTAGGTAGAGTCTCTCATAGGTATTTCTGCACTTCATCTGTTATGGAAATACATTTATTATTTGTTTAGAGGATTCTTAAGTTCTGAAACCTTAAAAATCCTTAAGAGACTTGAGAGGTACATTGAAGGAGGAAAGGTCCACATTGGCATATGCCAATAACAGCTGTCCTTCAGCATTTCTGTAAAGCTCATGACCTTTATATATACAATGATTTCATTTCTCCCATCTCCCTATCAACAGAGGAGGATTTTCCCATGCCAGGGTGGCATTTTCATAGAAAAATACTTAGAATGGAATTTTCAAAGATGAGAAATAAAGCTTTCACAAGCATTAATATATCGTGATTATGCCTGTTCTATATTATAGTATACTGTATACCAGTGGTGGCAAACCTATGGCACGGGTGCCAGAGGCGCCTCTCGGAGCACTCTCTGTGGGCACACGTGCCATTGCCCCAGCCTTACCTCCCCCCATGGCCCCCTCCTTTCCAGCAGCCCCCCTGAAAGAGAGTCGCCCCCGAGCGTGGCCCACATGGAGCAGTGCAGCTAAGGACCTGGCAGCCAGGCAGCGTAGACAAGACTCTGCCCTCACACCCCATCATGCAGTTGATGCTGCAGGGCATGGGCAGAAGGTGTGGCTGCCCTAGTGCTGCTGGGCTGCCTGGGCGATCTGCGGCGGGCCCTGGAGGCGGTGAGTGGTCCTGTGGGCAGGCGGGGGATGGGGGGGCAGAGTGGGGCAGGGGTGTGGAGCGGGGGTGGGGCCAGTTTTTGAGCACTAGGTCTCTAAAAAGTTCACCATCACTGCTGTATACTATACTTACTCATATACTTATCTGTGCATTTCTAAAAAGAAGAATGCCATACCACATAATTAATCACAGATGATTAGTTTTTTCATTCACAGGTCTGTTTATTAAATATATTTCTTTCATGGACACATTGCTTTCATAAGTCAGTTTAAATATATAAAACGTTAAAATACATCTAATACAACAAACTGACACTGTAAACCATTAAATAAAAACAGCAACTCAACACATTTCCTGCAAGCACATTACAAACCAAACTCCAAGTGAAATAAAAAAAAATAGTTCTTTCTTAAAAAGCAGCAATTTTAAAAATTATATCTGGCGAATGGAATTCCAAAAATCTATTATTTACAATTAAGTTCTCAAAATTCTATATGTTGGCAATAGGTTCAAAACAGACTTGTGCAATAAAATCCACATACTTGTTTCTCTTTGCAGCAATAATGAAAAATATAATAAACATGATTGCCATTAACTAAAGTACTGCTGTACATAGCAACATAGACCAGTATCAAGGACAAACATAGTGTATTCTCCTGGATGGATGGTATTCTTTTTGGTTGGGTTCACACACCTTTGTAAACCCTCCAAACCTAGATTAACAAAATAAAATAGCTGCATACTTATAACACATTTTGTCTAAGGGAAACATATTTTAGCTTAAAATGATGTGGTTCCCACAACTTGCTAAAGCAAATAACTAGATTCCTATGAATGCTAAATCATAAACCACACAGCATATTTTAGCCAATTATGTGAACTCAGCCTGTGAGTATATTTTAAAATGTCATACATTTAAAAAGAGGCTAGTAAATGGGGAGAGCGGTAATTTTTGTGCACAAGGGACTGGACATATCCTTTTAATGAATACAAAAAGAGAAATGGAACTTGGTTCACAATCACATACATAACATACAAAGCTAAGTGTCTTCTGAAAACTTACATTGAAAGATAACAATAACTCTTAATAAATGCTAGATTTTCCTAGACAATCCATGATCTGTTAGGTCATCATTTCAAAGATATTTCCTGACATAAACAGAGAAACAGAATGACCAAGGGCAAAAAAACCCCCATCAGCTATTCCAACTAAATATATTTCCATTATGTTCTCCCCTATCCATTTACTCTTCCAGCTGTTATTCTTCATTTTGTGATTACTGATATATGTAACATTTCATTCTTACTTGAGCTTGTTCAGATTTTAATGATATTTTAGAGGTATTTTAAAAACACTTCTGCAAAGTTGCCCAAACTTGTTGGCAACTTATTTGCCCCATTTTGGCTACAATTCTATCAACTATCAATATCCAGTACTCCACTCTTAGCCAAATACTGTAAATATAACTGTTCTTCCCAAGTCTTTCTTCTAATTTTACAATACAACCACAATTTCACTCACAAACCCTCATTTATCTGTGCAAATGTGTCAAAAGTTGTACACATACACCAATATTCATATAAATACAGACAAACTCCCAACACAAATTGTGTCATATTCCATATGAGTTTTGCTTCATATGCACCTTATGAATACACAAAGGAGTAAGCTGCCTGCTATTGCCTAACAGCTGAGATAACTTATTTTTGAAGAGATGATTGGCCTTGAATAGACTTAGGAAGATATAACTCCACATTCTGCACAATATCCCTGACAGGCTCCAGAACTTTCTCATTTATTATTTCAAATTGATTTCTTCTTGTGACAAGAATAGTATGTGTTTACTTGAAACCTCAACTGGCATTAATTTAGAATTGTGTAACTCTGGGACGATGATTAAGATTTGTTCTTCAGTCCGCAGAGTAAGCCTCCCCCAGTACTGTGTTTCTCTGAAAGGAATTTTCCTAGGAGAGCTAAATCATGGTTTGAAAAACAGGATTAATTGGAAAGTGTCTACAACTTTTGTGTGAAGATTCCCCACTTTTTTTTCAGCAAGAGAAACAAGCAAGTTCAGAATTGGCAAGAAACTTCTAGACTTTTTCTATTATGAAGGGGAAATCAAACTATGTCACTAAACTGGAAATATACTGGTTTTCTAAAATGCCTCTACAAGTGTGTAGTAACAAATGTTTGTGGTACCAAGATAGTATCTGCTTCAAATCAGGTTTGAATCTTGGTGACTACATAAATATGTCTGTTCATAATGTGAAAATAATTTCACATTGGTTTCTGAAGTTTTTAAAAATTACTTTCCTAAAAACAAAGTCAACATAGTAAGGTAGAAACAGAAGAAAAATAAATGTTTAGATAAATTAATTTTACAATTAATTATAGAAAAGTACTGTTAATATATTTTGGTTATTTAAATAATTGGTTATATTCTCTTTTTCTTTTTTTAGCAGTTCTTGGGTACTTAAGAAATATAATAGTAAAATAGCTAAACAGAATAAGTTAATAAGCAGAAAACCTGAGAAAAACTTTAAAAAATCATGATGCTGCTTCGATGAAAAGAATAACCTTGTAGGTACCATTAAAAAAAGGTTAAGTAGTATTTGGTCTAACTTCGGTGATCCTACATATATGTTATTAAATATTTTATTCAGCTGAGGGAGTTGAAATAATTTGATTGGAACTAATTTGGTTGGGGAGTCCTTAGCGCTCCCTGAGTTTGGTTGTTTTCATGCAGAAGTTTCATTACCTGGCTAGGTAATGTTTTCAGTGCTGGAAGGGAGCTGTTTTGCTCTCTGTTTATGTATATGTATGGTAGCTTGCCCTGTCAATGTTGGCGGGGTTGATATTTTCTCCTTGGTAGTTCCTTGATTGGGCTGTTGTTTACTGCTTGATTCTCTGAACTGGTAGTTCCTTGATTAGGGTCTTGGTTACTGCTTGTTTGTCTGGGGTTAATCCAGGTATTAATCTCTGCTTGTCTGGGTGTTGAATTGCTGGCCAGGAGGCTTTCTGCTCTTTTTGTTTCCTTTTTATCTTTTAATTATCTCTTTTGAATGATATGTAAATGTTGTTTATCTCTATGTACCTGCAGACTTATCTATGAAGAACTAAATTCTATGAAGTCCATGAGTAATGCCAACATGTATGTATATGCAATGTAGATTTCTCTAATTTAGTTCATCTAAGTTTTAGATTATAACTACCGCAATACTTGGCCATCTGCCCTGGAATTGTATTGTCTGAGGGTGAATGGAGTTCAACAGAATTGGAAGATGTCACATACAGAAAGTCTGATTAATCCATATTTTAACTAATGGTCTATCTTATATATATAATTATGCATGTCCAATGAAAATTGTATTTAATTTGCCAAATTAATATTGGTTTAAAACATCATATGAAATATTTTAACTACATCATAATCCTATACTAATTATATCTAATAAAAAAATTACACACATATATTAATACATATGTAATATGGATTCAAGATACAAACCTTATTTAAATCATTGAGATTTTAGCCTTAGTACTTTTACACTGATTTCAGTAGAACATTAATTTGACTGTTTTAATGTGAACCAAGTGATCCAATACAGTCAATAGGCATACAAAATCAGTGGGCAATTGAATTCAATTATTGAGAAAACAATCTGCACTACTGCAGATAAACAACTATATCAGGACAATCTCTGTTTGGAATTCAGCAATATGTAAATATAATGGTATCTTAAAATAGATTCACAACACGCTAAAATTTGGTTGGTTTAACGTATTTCTTTCAACTGGGTTCTTACAATATGCTAAACCAACATTCCCCCCCCCCCAAAAAAAAATCACATATTGACTTAGTGCAATGTGGGAATCAGTCACATTCCCAATCAGATCCTCAACAGAAGACTTTCTCAAATTTGGCAAGTTTTTACTAAATATAAAATTTGACACATTTGCAATATTGCACAGATCCTGGGCCATATTTTTCAGACCCAGAAAACATGATTATTCCCTGATGCCTCCTGATATTGCAATAGACTATTTCCATTCATAGTTCTTCCCCAGGCATGTTCAAAAATGCAATGTTGATTGACAGAATTATTTTAATTGCTGGTGATGGACACATAATTTTCTGGGCAGCATTTGAGAACTGATTTTGCCACTGCCACCTTCTGTTATTTTTTAAAACCCTAGTCTGTAGCCTTCAACTAATCAGGTTTATCCCCTTCTTTGATATTTTTAAATTAGTGAATTAAAAAAAAACCTCCACTTAACCTTAACTTCCTCACAGTTAATTTACAGACACAAATGGACATGTGCTGGATGTCCAGATTCACAGTAAGGAAAACACTTGAGCTAAAAGAAAGTACTGACATAAAGTTGTTTCAAACTGTTGTCCGTCTGATTTTGTTGGATAAAATGATATGTTGCCCTTTCCATTTGTCCTGAGGGTGGCATGAAATGGCGCGGGCCACCTGACAAAACTTCTGCACGAAGATCTTCCTAAGTAACAAGTAAACCCAGGGGTCCAGGATCTGATTCAGTGAAGCCAAGCGGATATGGGTTAAGGAGAAATTGCATTCTGGCTGCTGTTCTGCACTTTGGGTTTGGTTACAGGATTCTCTGCATTGATTCATAGGATTGGGGTTAAAAGTCACTTTCAATATTGTCACCTAAAAAAGAAAGAGCAAAGAGAAGTGTGCTGTTATTACTCAAGGCAATACTTTAAATCATTCCTTTATACAGTACAGGTAGTCCTTGACTTATGACCATAATAAGTGAAACATTTGTGAAGTAATTTGCCCCATTTTAATGACCTTTCTTGCTACAATTGTTAAGTGAATCACTGCAGTTGTTAAGTTAATGACACTGTTGTTAAGTGAATCTGGTTTCCCCATTGACTTTGCTTATAAGAACATCACAAAAGGGGTCATGTGACCCCAGGACACTGCAACCATCATAAATGTGAGTCAGTGGCCAAGCGTATGAATTTGGATCACATTGCAGTGGATGCTGCAATGGTCGTAAGTATGAAAAACGGTCATAAGCCACTTTTTCCAGTGCCGTTGTAACTTTGAATTATCACTAAGTGAACTGTTGTAAGTCGAGGACCACCTGTGTAACAGTTAGTAACATTAAGGAAGAACACTGTTCCTGAGGCTTGTGGGGAGGAGCTGTCTTAGTTGCTTGAATTAAAGAGTTATAGGAGAAGCAAAGTAAGACTGAGCAGCTCATCTAGTGATATGCTTTCTTCACAAATTCTTCTTCAAGTTCCTTTCTGGCTGTTCTGAATCCAGAACCAAGACAGCTGCAGTCCCTCAAAGGTTTAGTGTGAACTTTGATACATCAAACACAGAAGATCTCAGGAAAGCCACAAAGAAAGCCACTCTGAGCTTGGTTTTTTTGTGGAACAAGAAAGGCATTTTGGGAATTGGGAGTTCTGCTTAGCTCTACCCATCTTGTTTAACACACTGTTTCCAAGATGGGCAACCAGGTAACTTGTATATCTTGTATCAGGACAATATGATGGCAACAAATGGCACTCACCTTAGTTTCCTTTGCCCGAAACAGATATTGAGAAATAAGAACGTTACTCTGGAAATTGGAAATAATATACTGTATAGCTATTATGACTAATACCAGCTATTACAATATTATCTTTCATATATTTGCCTGATCTTTTAAAACTGGTGACCATCGTAGCATGTTGTAACAGTGCATTCTATATAGTACTAAGTAGGGTCTGGTATTATTACACTTGGAAGGAGATTTCTGGGCTACAATGTTGGGAAGTAAAAAAATAATAATCTAGAAGACAGCAGGGACAAATCTCTTCTGTATGGTTGCCAAACATTTGTATAGTAGACTTGGTTACTGTGGCAACAACTGCACCATTGGAAGACCTAAAAGGACAAGTTAGGGTTAGATCTTCTTGGAGAAAATCTGTGTGGTTGCTAACAAACCAACAACTTGATAGAACAAGAATGCATAAAGTTTCCAGAAGGTGTGCTTGACTAGGAGAATGTTTTTCCCTTTTCTCTGTTTTCAGTTACACCTTTTTCTTCTTTGCTAAGAAGGAATCAGAATCTAAAATTGGGAAGAGGGAGATGGAATTCTCCTTATCCCCTTTCTTTATTCTTCCTTCATTCACAGCTTTTCTGAATCACATACTCTCAAAGACATGGCTCTTTCCTTATAGGGACGTTTTTTCCAACCCTTCAATAAGTTTTGGTTACTTTTTCTTATACTTTCTCCACAGAATGGAAGAAAAAAAAAATAGCTATAAATTTATTATTCAATTTATATATCTCCTATCTTAAATACATGACTTTGAGCTTAAGGCAGTGAAAATACAAAATAAAAATAAAAATCCGTAGTTTTTAATATTACATAGTTAGATAAGTCTGAAAAATCTTGCCAATAAAGATTATTTTTATTTTAGCCCATCTTAACTCAGTCCAAAGACTTCAGGGATAATCAATTTTAAAAATAACTGATTCATACATTATTTCCATTTGCTACTTTTCTCTCAACAATATTTCTAATCAAAAATATTTTGCAAGTTTTAAACCATTTTGAAAACCAGCTGAATTCAATAAAGAAATCACTGTGAGAGAAGCATTTAATCATAACCACTCTTGGGGAAAAATGGTCTTTTCAACTTGAATCAAGAAAAATCTTTTAATTTCTAGCAAATTATTAAATCTATTTTAGTGTCAAATTCCAGCTCTGTTAATGAGCCACATGCCTGACAAACTGTATAATATCCTCAGGAAAATTAACGTTCTATTAACATCCATCATTCTAACTCATTAAAATCTGGAAACTGAATGAGATTATCCTACTACACCTTTAGAATCAGTCCATTTTCTTCATGTAATAACCATTAAATTATATCAATTAGATATAAGCTTGCAGTTTCATGCAAACACGGAATATATTCCAATAACAAGCTAAGTGATATTTATTTTTCCATGAATTATTTGGCATCCACTTTTTTACTCTCAATCAGCACTTTCGGTAATTCTCCATTTCCTTCACAAACACTGAAAGCACAGCTGCCTTTTAATTTAATTCTACATGAAAGGGATAAGGGTAAATATAACCAGAGTTCAGACTATCAGATTTTATTGTTACATAATTTTTCCACTATGAAATTTGGTACAGAATATTCTGAAAGCGTATTTTTGTAACTAATATTAATCCAATTGGTATGTTCTGTTCTAATCAATTAATACAATATGATATATTACACGTATCACACAATGAAGCAGATCAGAGGCTATATTTTGTATCCCTCTCATGCAGAGATCGCCTGCTGTCTTTCCCACTTCCCTACAAATAAAAGCATTATGCCATAATTTTGATCTTTTTTTATTTTAAAGCAAGAGCAAATTTTTGAAACCCATTTCTGTTATTAATTGCACATTACTGTATATTGTACCTATGCACTAGCTGTGTTTGTATAACACTCTTAAGTTGATTACACCTGTGACATGATGTCATGCAATAGCCGTTCAACTGCAAGATTACACAAGAGCAGTTTTCATTAAAAACATGCTCAGGGCTGCTTTGGTGGAAGGATCTTCCCTTATTCAGCTATGTCAGGCAAACGCAATCAAAGGTGTGGAACAGTTGTGCCAGTCATGCCAAATCAGTCTTCCGAGAAAAAGTGGAGGATGTAAGGATATACAGTAAGTCAGCCAGGCTTTCCGTTACAAAATGCACTCAATATGTGATTGCCCTCAGGCATCAACCGAGTTGCACCTCATACTGCTTGCAGATATTCCTCCTGGAAATGCTTACAGCCAGCAGTTATTCCAAATGAGAAAAAGAGTTTTTTCTGCCCAGTGTCTGAAAACATTTCATGTGGGGTTTTTTTCAATTCAGTCAAACAATATTACCAAAATATTGCTTGGGAGGGAGGGCAATTTGCATACCTAACTTATACCACGGATCAAGAGTCTGGTGGCCACTGTCCTAAATTCCAGTCCTCTGCTCTGGACATCAAACATATTACTTGCATATGTTCTGTTTTGCCCCCGTCTTTTACCTTCTTTATAGCCTGGAGAGTTTCCTGGGGTTAGGCTAGCTCTGAGACTCTAGAAAGAGTGCAGAGAAGAGCAACAAAGATGATTAGGGGAGTGGAGGCTAAAACATATAAGGTTGCTGGAATTGGATATGTCTAGTTTAACGAAGAGAAGGACGAGGGGGGACATGATAGCAGTGTTCCAATATCTCAGGGGCTGCCTCAAGGAAAAGGGAGTCAAGCTATTCTCCAAAGCACCTGAAGGCAGGACAAGAAGCAACAGATGGAAACTAACCAAAGAGAGAAGCAACCTAGAACTAAGGAGAAACTTTCTGACAGTTAGAACAATTAACCAGTGGAACAACCTGCCTCCAGAAGCGGTGAATGCTCCAACACTGGAAATTTTAAAGAAGAAACTGGACAGCCATTTGTCCGAAATGGTATAGGATTACCTGCCTGAGCAGGGGGTTGGATTAGATGACCTCCAAGGTCCCTTCCAACTTATCATCATCATCATCATCATCATCATCATCATCATCATGTTGTTGTTGTTGTTCTTTCTTTCTTTCTTTTTTTACAAGGATGTTTTCTTATCATGGGATATCTTGTAGGGACTGGCTTTGCAGTCAGGTTTAGCAGGGTGATGTTAAACACAGACGGATATAGATTATGCTATGTGGTGGAAGTGTGGGGAGAAGGGAGGTTGTAACCAGGTGAGTGGGGATTGCATGTTTTTGTGTGTACTTGGCCTTGGAGTGCTGTTATTTTTCCTTTTTTTAAAAAAAAAAACCCCAACCCAAAACCTTTTGCCTACCATATGCCTTGTTCCCCGTTTGACAAAAGGGAGTGAACAGATAATTACCTAAAGTTTTGCCAGTAGTTCCTGGTGCAAGGATTTTGCAAGTATTTCATACTTACAGGAGAGCCTGAGTAGGATTCTGTATTTCCCAAATTCTGATCCAGTTAGTCTATGTGCTCACTCCCAAGTTAGTGCCCAATTGACTGTTTGTGTTCCTAAAAAGCTGCTTGTGTTTCAAGCAGTACCTATAATGTAGAGTCCCAGTTCAACCCTGAATTCTATTAGTATCCATAGTGTGTGGATTTGCTTATTTATTTTTTATTAAAACATTTTTGATTCTTCCTGAAAGCATCTCCAAAGAGATATAAAATTTGGAAAATTAAACTAATCTCTTATGAAATTAAGCACAAACCATCTTTAAGATGAACTAGAAATTAATTAATGCTGTTTAAAATCCATAAAAATGAGCAGAATGAAACAAAATACAGGTAGCTCTTGACTTACAACAGTCCAGTTAGTGACCACTCAAAGTTACAACAGCACTGAAAAAGTGATTTATGACCATTTTTCACACTTATGACCTTTGTAGCAGCTCCATGATCATGTGATCAAAATTCAGAGTCTTGGCAACTGATTCATACACACTTTGTTGTGTCCCAAGGTTATGTGATCACCTTTCGCAACCTTTTGACAAGCAAAATCACTGGGAAAGTCAGCTTCACAACAACCGTGTTACTAACTTATTAAACTGCAGGGATTCACTTAATAACTGTGGCAAGAAAGGTAGTAAAATGGAGCAAAACTCACTTAACAAATGTCTCACTTAACAGAAATTTTGAGCTCAA